AAAAAAAAAAAAGTAAAAAACTTCAAAACTTTAAAAACTTCAAAACCTTAACAGAAGTTTGGAAAAAGTTGATTCCAACCCTCAATGGATGACTTTGAGGGGTTGAAAACTGCAGTGGAGGAAGGCCCTGCAGATGTGGTGGAAATAGCAAGAGAACTAGAATTAGAAGCGGAGCCTGAAGATGGAACTGAATTACTACTGCAATCTCATGATCAAACTTGAACAGATTATGTGTTGCTTCTTGTGGATGAAAAAAGAAAGTGGTTTCTTGAGATGGAATCTATTCCTGGCAAAGATGCTGTGAACATTGTTGAAAGGGCAACAAAGGATTTAGAATATTCCATAAATCTAGTTGACAAAGCAGTTGCAGGGTTTGAGAGGACTGACTCCAATTATGAAAGAAGTTCTACTGTGGATAAAAGGCTATCAAACAGTATTACATGCTGCAGAGAAATCTTTTGTGAAAGGAAGAGTCAATTGATGTAGCGAATTTCAATGTTGTCTCATTTTTAAAAATTGTCACAGTCACCCTAATCTTCAGCAAATCACCACCTTGATCTGTCAGCAGCCATCAACATCGAGGCAACACTCTCCACCAGCAAAAAGATTATAACTCGCTGAAGGTTCAGATGATTAACATTTTTTCAATAAAGTATTTTTTAAATTAAAATATGTGCATTGTTTTTTACAATATAAGTCTATTCTACCTTAATAGATGACAGCAGAGTATAAACATAACTTTTATATGCATAGGGAAACAAAAAAGTTCATGTGACTCGCTTTATCATATTTGGTTTATCGTGGTAGTCTGGAACAGAACCCACAATATGTCTGAGGTATGCCTCTCTTTACTTATATTTTTAAAATTAGCTCACAAAATCATACATCACTGAGTTCTCAAAAAGTAGACAACTTCATATTTTATTCATTCATTTAACCTAAGAGCTGTGTGGGGACACACCTATCATGAGTTCTGAAGAACACAGCTGATTTTTATCTCTTATTAAATATCCAAGAATAACAAATTCTAATTTTATATACTCTATTCTGTTTCCCCCCAAAAGTGTGACAAATATTCTTAAAAGTTTATAAATGCACAGATATGTCTGTGCACATAGTGAGTGCATGTGTATATAATATATGCATCTCAACAATAACTTCAGCCATGTCTGCATCTAAGCCCAACAAGAAAAATACGACTCGCAAGTTCTGAAAAGATTCTTTTTTTTTTTTTTTTTTTTTTT